GTTTATTTTGTTTAGTTTAGTTTAATTTTTTTTTTATATAGCTTCCTTAATTGTTCATGCCCGTGACTCAATCTTCTAACCAAGCTAATTTGCAGTTTGATCCAGATATTGAAAGAATTTTGCACAGGTTGAGGAGTGACATTCGAAGGAATTTCGAAGGACACAATCTCATTCATATCCCCTTGTTTACTAGTGATTCCGATTCAAAAAGAGTGGAAGTCATGGGTGGAAATCAAACTTTGAAGGAGCTTGCAGCTCCAAACTTGAATCAACAACCTCTTTGCATAACTTTTCCTACTTTAGATGTTGCTACTACTTTTGAACTTAAATCTGGATTAATACATCGTTTGCCTATTTTTCATGGTCTTGCAGGTGAAGATCATCACAAACATCTAAAGGAATTTCATGTGGTTTGCACAAGCATGAAACCCATTGGAGTAACTGAAGAGCAAATCAAATTGAGAGCCTTTCCATTCTCCCCGAAGGACTTAGCTAAGGACTGGCTCTACTATCTACCATCTAAAAGTGTCACAACATGGGAAGAAATGAAGATGATGTTCTTAGAAAAATATTTTCTAGCGTCAAGTGCAGCTAACATTTGAAAGGAGATTTGTGGCATAAGGCAAGACGACCGAGAATCTTTGCATGAATACTGGGAACGGTTCAAGAAATTATGTGCAAGTTGCCCCCACCATCAGATTAGCGAACAACTTCTCATTCAATATTCCTATGAAGGCCTTCTGCCCACTGTTAGGAATATGATTGATGCGTAAATGAGAAAGCTTTGGTGGATAAAACTCCCAAGGGCTCAAGGATCTTGATTGCAAACATAGAAGCCAACTCTTGACACTAGGCTAACAGTCCATCTAAACATGTTAATGAGGTAAATATCTCATCCATTGAAATAACATATTTCGAGTCTAACTATTCTTGGTCGAAAAATGGCTGTAGATAATGTGCAAACAGTGAAGGCGTGTGAAATTTGTTCGGTGACAGGACATCCAACCAACATGTGCCCAACTCTTCAAGAATACTCAAATGAACTGGTTAATGTAATTGGCGGCTTTCCTAGATAAGCATAAAAGAGTTATGATCCATACTTTAACACCTATAACCTAGGATAGAGGGATCATCCTAATTTTAGCAACAAGAATCAACAAGTGAACTGACCTATGCAACAAAATCGCCCAAATTTTCAACAAAATAAGCAGCCATATCCTCTAGACAACAACAAGACCAAACTTCTAACTTTGACATATCTTTAGAAGATATTATTAAGTCGTTTGCCACTAATACTTTACAATTCAAATAGGAGATAAGGGAAAGCATTCAAAATTTGGATAATCAAATGGGTCAAATGGCAACTGCAATCAAACAGCTGGGATCCCAAAACTCAAGGAAATCACCTTCTCAAATAGTTGTGAAACCAAGGAAAAATGCAAGTGCAATTATTTTAAAGAGTGGTAAAGAGGTTAAAGCACCGGTGAAGGCAGTCCCCACATCGTCCGAACAAGGAAATGAGGAAGATGTCATTGCAGACAAAGGTATTTCCAATGGTGATGATACACCAAAATATAAGTTTCCACCCCTTTCTAAGTATAAACCAATACCCCTTTCTCTTATGCTTTAGCAAAATCTAGGAAAGATTAACCAAATAGTAAACTTTATGAAACTTTTCGTAAATGTGAATTAAATATTCCATTGTTAGATTCTATTAAACAAGTACCTCGCTATGCCAAATATTTGAAAGAATTGTGTACACTTAAAAGAAACCAGAAACTAAAAAGGTGTGAGAAAGTGAAAATTGAGGAGAATGTCTCTGCAGTCATTCAAATGAAACTCCCTGCAAAATGCAAGGATTCAAGTATGTTTATTATCCCTTGCACGATAGGTAACACTAGGTTTGAAAAGACCATACTAAACTTAGGAGCTTCTATAAATGTCATGTCATATTCCATGTATGCTTTTTTGAAATTGGGGCCCTTAGTTAAAACTGGTGCAATCATTCAATTAGCTGATAGATCAAATGCCTATCCTAGGGGAGTAATTGAGGATGTCCTTGTAAAGGTTAATGAATTGGTTTTTCCTGCTGATTTTTATATGCTTGACATGGAAAATGGGGACCAAACTAGTCACGTCTTGTTAGGAAAGCCATTCTTAAAAGCATCCAAAACAAAACTAGATGTACACAGTGGCACACTGACCTTGGAATTTGATGGTGAAATAATTAAATTCAATATTTATGATGCTATGAAATTTCCTAGTGAAGATAATGTTGTTTACTCTATTGATTTGATTGATTGTTTAGTATATGATGTTTTTGAACTTAATGGAAAGGATGTATTGGAGGTTGCTGTTAGTAATCATGTTGAAAAGGATAATGGAAAATTGACTTGGACCCCTGAATTGCGAGAAACTATTGCAACACTGAATAGTCTTCCAAAGTTACAACAAACAGGTAATGATTTATATGCTGCTTTACCAATTTCTAATGAAAAACTCCTGCCTTCTGTTTTGTAGGCTCCTACTCCAGATTTGAAGCCTCTTCCCAATCACCTCAAATATGTATTCCTTGGAGACAAAAAGTATTGCTCGTGATAATCTCAAACAAATTGAATGCAACATGGAAAGAAAAATTGATGCAAGTTCTCAAGAAATATTGCATAGATATTGGATGGACAATTGTAGACATCAAATGAATTAGTGCATCAACCTGTGCGTATCGCATTCTTCTTGAAAAAGGAGCAAAATCTACTCGCAAACCTCAAAGAAGATTGAACCCACCTATAATGGATGTAGTAAAGCAAGAGATTCTCAAGTTTTTGGATGTTGGAGCAATTTATCCTATCTCTGATAGTAGTTGGATCAGTCCCGTTCAAGTGATTCCCACGAAGGTGAAGAATCAAAACAATGAATTGGTTACCATCCGTGCTCAAAATGGGTAGTAGGTTTGTAGAGATTATAGAAAATTAAATGTTGTAACCCGCAAAGATCACTTTCCTTTATCTTTTATTGGTCAAATGCTTAAAAGGTTAGCTGGTCATTCTTACTATTGCTTTCTTGATGGTTATTCAGGTTATTCCCAATTGCAATTGCCTCGAATGATCAAGAAAAGACAACATTCACATGCCCATTTGGAACCTTTGCATACCATCGCATGCCCTTCGGCCTTAGTAATACTTCGGCCACTTTTCAACGATGTATGGTTAGTATATTTTCAAATTATATTGAGCATATTATAGAAGTCTTTATGGATGACTTTACAATCCATGGAGACTCATTTGATAACTGTTTACATACCTTACACTAGTCCTTAAAAGATGCATAGAAGCCAATCTTGTACTAAATTCTGAAAAATGTCATTTTATGGTTAAGCAAGTTATAATTCTAGGGCATGTCATTTCATCTAAATGTATTGAGGTAGATAAATCCAAAATTGATATTATTCAATCTCTGCTTTACCCCGCTAGTGTGCGAGAAGCCCGTTCTTTCCTTGGACATGTAGGTCTTTACCGCAAGTTTATTAAAAACTTTTCAAATAGCATTGCTCTTATGCAAATTGTTACAAAAGGATGTGGCTTTTGAGGTTGATAGGGATTGAAAAAAGGCATTTGATGCACTGAAGGATCTATTGACCTATGCACCAATTATCCAACCTCCTGACTAGAACTTTCCTTTTGAGATAATGTGTGACGCAAACAACTTTGCAGTAGGCACAGTGTTGGGTCAAAGAATTGGAAATGCTTCACATGCCATCTACTATGCTTCCAGGACTCTAAATGATGCCCAGAGAAATTACTTCATGACTGAAAAAAGAACTTTTAACTGTTGTTTTTGCGTTAAAAAAATTTCGTCCATATTTACTTGGTACTAAAGTCATTAATTATTCTGATCATGCAGCTTTGTGTTATTTGATGACAAAGAAGGAGGCAAAACCAAGATTAATACGGTGGATACTTCTCTTGAGTGAATTCAACTTGGAGATCAAGGATAAAAGAGCCATCTAGGTCACGTGGATGATGAACTTCAATTGCACGAAACCTTTCGTGATGAGCGATTATTCTCTACAAGCATGACACTACCTTGGTATGCAGACATTGTAAATTTTTTGGCTACTGACATACTTCCTCCTCATTTCTCTGAGGTTTGAAAGGACAATATAAAAAAAAAGATGTGAAATATTATGTATAGGATGATCCATACCTGTGGAAGCATTGTGCAGATCAAGTTATTAGAAGGTGTATTCTAAAAAATGAAATTACCCCTATCCTCACCTACTGTCATTCATATGCCTGTGGAGGACACTTTGGACCAAGGAGGACAGCAAGAAAAGTGTTGGAATGTGGTTTCTATTGGCCATCCTTATTTTGAGATATATATGTCTTCTGTAAGTCATGTGAGAATTGTAAAAAGACAGGTAACATATCCCAGAGAAATGAAATGTCACTATCATCCATACCTTTTTTTGTGAAATTTTTTATGTTTGGGGCATTGAATTCATGGGGCCATTTCCTTTATCTTTTGTTTTTGTTTATATTTTGCTTACTGTGGATTATGTGTCAAAATGGGTGGAAGCTAAGGCCACCAAAACTGATGATTCTAAAGTTGTTGCATATTTTATCAAGTCGAAAATATTCTTCAGGTTTGGGCTTCCAGGAGCTCTCATCAGTGATCGTGGCACTCATTTTTGTAACCAAACTGTGGAAGCTTTGCTGAGAAAATATCGTGTAACCCATAAGGTGTCAACAGCATATCACTTACAGACTAGTGGACAAGCGAAAATATCAAATCGAGAAATCAAGTCTATCCTTGAAAAATCGGTTTGTCTAAGCAGAAAAGATTGGAGTTTGTGTTTAGATGACACTTTATGGACATACAAGACTGCATATAAGACACCTATTGGTATGTCACGTTACCGGTTAGTATTCAGGAAACCATGCCACCTTCTAGTAGAGCTTGAACATAAAGCTTAATAGATTGTCAAGAACTTCAACATGACGATGGAGGAGAGTAGAAAACATAGGAATCTACAACTTCAAGAGTTGGAGGAAATTCATTATGATGCTCATGAGAGTGTGCGAATTTACAAGGAAAAGATAAAGGCATTCCATGACAAGATGATTAGATGGAAAAAATTTGAAGTTGGTCAGAAAGTCTTCTTAAACCAATCACGGCTTCAGCTATTTCTAGGTAAATTGCGTTCTTATTGGTTGGACCATTTGTTGTTACTAATGCTTTTCCTCATGGTGCAGTAGAAATCCATAGCACGGCAACTTCAAAGGTATTCAAGGTGAATGGCCATAGGCTCAAGCCTTTCTATGAAGGTTTCCAGGTGGAAGAAGTGATAACGTTGAAACTTGAAAATCCAATTTATGATGATTAAGGAAGAAAGTAATAAAATTAGCCAAAGACAATAAACAAAAGCGCTGCTTGGGAGGCAACTCAGGGGAGTTCATTCCTTTACTTTTTATTTTTATTTTTGTTTTCATTTTTTTTTACATTCATAAACTAAGATAGTTTTGTTCTCTTCTTTGCATTTCACCTTAAATTAGGGACAATATAAGTTTTAAGTGTATGGGAGGAAATTTAGGTTGTTTTTAAATTTGAATTTTAGGTCATGTTTTCGCTTCACAGGCACTTTTTGAGAAAATCTTTCAAAAAATTGAGGAAAAGTTGTGGTTTTAAATGATTTTTGGTTACATGTGCTATCTGCTAAATTCAATTAGAATTTGATGGACTCATAATATGATTGAATGAATGATCTTCCAACTTAGAGTTAATTAGTTTAGTTATTTTCTTTGAGGATGGTGGTAACTAAATTTTGAAAACAAAAACCCAACGAGATTTTTTGAGCCTTTAGACTGGCGCATCTATACCAATCTCACTATTTTCTTTCAAGAGTGATTTTCTTCCATGAATTTACTTCTCTCGAACTTGCCTTGATTCTCTTCGAGGCCATATTGATACATGCATGCATGAACATGATTAAGGTCATCTTTATTGCATTAGTTAGACATCTTAGCCAAATAGCCTACCCAGTAATTAATTTTTTCCTTTGTTGAACCCATTTGAGCCTTATAGCCTTTTCTTTTGTAAACCCATATTACAAGCTTTAAATCCGAAAAACAATGTCTTTACCTAAGCCGTAGAGCTAGTGGAATATTGTTCTTCATTTTGGTACATATGGGAGTGCGAAAGAAATAACTGTGGAGATGTCTAAAATTTTGGTAGGATTATGATAGTGGAATGGAACATGTTCTCAATTACAATTCATAAGTTCCATTATTGGTGCTATTTTGAAAAAAAAAAAAAAGAATGGAAAAAAATTAAAAAATGATAAGAAAAATGAAAAAAAAATGATGAAAAAGAATAGAAAAGAAATGATGAAGTTATGTTCGTGACTCCTCCTAACATCACAAGAAAGGGTTGGTTTTTGTGAAATAGATGCAAAAATACCGTTAAGTGGAGAGATTGGTCTTACATTTTTTGTATATACATTTGAGCTTTAGTTAATTCATCTTTGCCCCTCTAGTTTCAATGGTTTTTGAGTTACATATCCAAATATTTCCCACCTTAACCTTAAGCCACGTTACAACCCATGTAAAAGACCTTATCATTTGTGCAATGCATGTAATCTAATTGCTGGAGAATGAGAAGATATGCAAGCGTATGGTAGATCATGTCCATTAGAATGAGTTTGAGCAAAACACTTACTTTTTAAACACATAAGAGTGGAGTCCTTATATCCCGTGAGGGTCTACATGTTTGGTTTACTCCATCTTTACATGAGAATACTTGCTAATTGATTATACGTTGTGTGAGAATGCTCGTTCATGATGTGTATGCATTTTGACAAGTTTGGTTGTTCTATGTTGATAGCATGGCAATCTTAATATTTTGTGAAAGTAAATTTGAATTTTACTCGAGGACGATCAAAAACTAGGTGTGGGGAATTTGATAAGACATGCAACGTCGCATTTTTCATCTACTAATACTTTCATTTTGTGATTAATTAATGCCCAAATGTACTCGGTACCTATATATTTTGATTTAGGTTGTGAATGGATGAAAAATATGGAATTTGGGAGAAAAAGAGTGAAAAATAATCAAAATGGAAGAAAGTAAAAGTTCAAGGACCAAGTTGAAAATAATCCATAGATGTGACGGGGGATGAAATGAAGATTCAAGAGTGCTAGAGGTCAATTGGATGAAGAAAGAAGTGAAAGAGGTGAAATATAGTTAAAGTATTATCGCGTATCAACTTTCAGGCGAAAAAGCTATGCTTAAGATTTTTAGTCTACTTGAGACCCATTTTTAGCACAGTAAACATCTGAATTGGAAACATCCTACTTGTATCAGATTTGTAGATCATTGAGTTAGCTTCCCAATGCAATCACTCCAATTGGACATCAGGAGAGAAAGTTATGACCAAAATATTGAAAGTTGTCCGGCAGGAAAATGATTGAACTATGCTGTTTCATAGTTCAAAATCAATGCTATCGCATAATGACCTCCAGGAAACTTCAGAGCTGAATATAATTATTCTATGCAACTGCAACCCTTATAACTATATGGTCACATAGTTATATTCCGACACGTAATTTTTAGTTTCCTAATCTAAGTCAAATACTAATGGAAACAAATCTTGTACACAATATATAAGCCCTCAGAACTCGTCTAAAACCTAGAGAACGCCCCCCAATCACTTTTCTCTCTTTTTTGCTCTAAAATTGAAGATGTCTAGCTAATTTTTCTTACTTGATCTAAGGAGACGGAAGCCTTGGAACAATCACCGTGAGATCCACCTGGTTTTTTATTGTTCGATTCATATATTTTTAGTATTAAATATTTTTCTACACTTATTTTTATGATTGTTGAGTTTAATTGCTAGGGTGAAAACTAGTTTATTATTTTCTACAATCTATAGCTAAGTTAAACTTCAAATTCGTAATTATTTGATTGATTTAACTTGTGTTGCAATTAGGATTAGTAATTTGTTGCTTTGGAAATTATTAAATTTTGGGAAGAATATTTATCCAGGTTATATACAATCGCGTGTGCTTATGTTATCTAGTTCATTGAATTCTCTAGTTCATAAAGCAATTATTGAATTAAATCTTTAGGAAGAATATTTATCTAGGTTATATGCAATCGCGTGTGCTTATGTTATCTAGTTCATTGAATTCTCCAGTTCATAAAGCGATTATTGAATTAAATCTTTGTGCTTATCTGGGATTGTTTGATAACCAGAATTAATTAGATCGCTTATTTCTAATTAATTAAAACTAAGGAGAAATCGAAAATCGTTTCGAATGGAGAATTATTTTTCACAATGAATGCTAAAATTATGATGATTATTTGTGGATCAATGATCGGTTATGAATTTTCAATGGTAGATGTTGACTTAGATTAAGGTTCGATATATTGGTTTTATTTAATTCATTGAATTGCGTTGCTATTAGTTTTTTTTTTTTATAATTATTGTTTCAAAATCAAAACCCCCTTTTTTAGTTAATATTGCATAAAAGATAAACTAAACACTCTTCGTGAGATCGATCCTTACTTCCACTACTAATTAATTTTAAGAAGTATAGGTTTTAATTTGGAGCGTCTACGACAGCACGCACCAAGTCCTTAGTACCAAAATTTGAAAAAGAAAACAACCAATTTTGCATATTTTATTTAGTTTTAAACTTTAGGAGCCTAAGGTTTAATAATTCAAAACTTTAGGAGGGCAAAAATTAACAAATTTAAAATTTTAGGGGCCAATATGAACAAATTAGAAACTTTGAGGGCTTTAATTACAAAATTAAGAACTCTAATGACCCTAATTAATTAATTTTTAAATTTTAGGGACTGAATTATTAAACCCAAAACTTAAAGGTCCAATTTGGATGAACTTTAAACATTAGGGATTGAAACCTTAATATTATAACTCTAACCCTAATTGCAAGCAGGGCTCTCAAATTAATCAATTTACACTTGAAGCCCCACCCCCAAGTACACCCATCTAACCCTAGCACCGACGCGTACTGCACGCGATAGCGTAGTTCAGTGCGCTTCTGCCCAGTTTGCCAATTTTTTTTAACTTCAAAAGTCTGTAATCTTTAAAATTCGTAATTTTTAATCCCTCAACTTTTTAATTCGAAATATGGAAGACAATAAGAAAAAACATGGCACAAAGGTTTTCAAATTCAACAAAATATAGATCCAAAATTGTTAAATTTGAAAACATTGAAATTGTCACAAAAATCAAATAAATATTCGATTATTAATGATTCAACACGAAAGTAGCTCTAATACCACTTGTGGGAGAAATTATTACTGTCAAATTAGTCGGATCTATCATGTTGGATCATCAAGAACACCAAAGCAGAAGCGTACCTGAATCAACATTGTTAATTGACACAATTGAATCCTGCAACAAGCAGCTCTTTTTCTCTCTAGTGATGAGAGGCAGACAAAATGAGCAATACTTGTGATTTGGGGACCATAATTGTGTTCATATACTGCTTGTCGATTAACCTAATTCGGCCCATTGTAGAATTAGAAACAATGGCCTGGTCTCACACATAAAAGTCCATACTTTAATTAGATGTATTAAAGTCCAAAATATCAAAATCTTATTAGATCACTTTGAATAGGCTTAACCTAGTTTGATAGCCTTCAATTTAATAAACAATAATTCACATGTAAGCCCACATAATCAATTAAAATTTCGTATGCTGAATGCTTAACTATCATATTTCTGATGGAGAATTACCATACTCCGGTCATCATAAGAATTTTTTCACTACACCAAAAAAGGATTTTTGCAACGGTAAAAAACCATTGCCAATGTAATTTGCAGCGTTTTAACGTATGTTGCGGAGGCTGGTGTTGCCGTTGCGGCGAAAGTTTTTGCAGCGTTTGGGAAAGCGCTGCAAAAGACCTCTTTTTGCAGCATTTGGGAAAATGCTACAAAAACAAGCCTATTGCAGCGCTTGGGAAAACGCTGCAATATACCTCCTTTTTGCAGCGTTTACCCAAACGTTGCAATAGAAGGTCGTTTGCAGCGTTTGCCCAAACGCTGCAAAAAAGGAGACATATTGCAGCGTTTGGTGAAAACGCTGCAAAAGACCTCCTATTGCAGCGTTTGGCCGAACGCTGCAATAGGCTTGTTTTTGTAGCGTTCGGCTAAACGTTGCAAAAGATAATGCACTGAAGCCAGTGCATTCTGGCCACTGCTCTATCCACACTTTGTGGGTTATAAACATCAAACATAACCACCAAAATAATAAACTAACAAACATGTTCTTTGATCCAACAAGTCAAATAATAAACTAAAAAACACGTACTCATTACTTTTGTAAAATATTCAATACATTCTCTTTTCCAAAATAA